GAAGCTCTGTTTTTGAACTTGGAAATGGAGGAAGATGGTGTTACAGTCGTGTAACAGGGACATGGATGGCTTGTGTGTGATGCTTGGAAGTTTTTGGAAGCAAAAGGCCAAGAAACGCACAAGTAGTTTTTGATTTTGGGATTTCTGGCCAGAATATACAACAATGGAAGTTTGAGATGCAATTATGATTTTTTGTGAGTTTTAAGGCTTGTGTATGCGTGTGTTTTCTTGCAAATGACTTGTGTATCGATAAGAAAAAGGTTGGAGAGGTTTTGCACAAAGGATTTCTGAGTTATAGAGTTATGCCTAGGTTGCTTGATTTTGAAGAAAAGTGAAAGTATGGTTCCAAGATGAAGTACAAGCATGGACTGAGTGATTGTAAGGCTTGATACAAACTTCTCTTGAGTTATAGGATGTGTATTATTAGAAGAAGACAATTGCAAGGCTCAAGAACAAGTTTTGTGTATAAAGCTATTTTTTTAAAATGGCATTGTGCATTTTCTTCCTAAAATGGATATAAAGCATGGGCATTGCATTGAATGCTTGAGTTGAAGCCTCTAACAGTTATTCAAACATTTAATTATGGAGTGCCTAACAAGTTTGAGGCCTGCAAAGCAAAGATTATGCAGCATAGGTTTGAGATTTGAATTTTGTTCATCACAAAATTTGCCTTGTAAAACAACTTGAAATCCCAACTTCCGACCTTCGATTCTCCTTGCTCACAAATGATCTCAAGGAGTTCTTGGACATTTTGGAAGGCTTGCAATGTGCTATATAACCCCTCTTTGAATAACTTTTGAAAAATCCAAATAGAAATAGGTGAAACATGGGTCAGAAGTTAGGTCAAAATCCTGACCAAAAATGTTCAAAATTTCACGAAGTATTTAGTTTCAAGACCATGACTTCATGGATTAATAACTTGAAATCCAAGCATTTCTAGGAGAAGTTATGTAAAGAAATGTTGTATATATCATGTAGATCTACAACTTTCATGTTGAAAGTTTCTTTTGAATCATTTTGCATCATGGTGAAAAATTGGCTCAAAGTTGTGAAAAAACATGAAGTTTTCAACACTTATAAAAATTTCTAAGTTTGAAAATTTTGACTTTTCAAAATGAAATCTTGACTTTTTGATTTCTTGATGAGCAAGTTTCATATTTTGACATGTTTTTATGAATTTTGATATTTGGCACTTGATTTTGACCAAAAAGTCAAAGTTTGACTTTTCAGTGTACAGTTGACTTTTGATCAGTGGATTGAAAATCAACCATCAATCTAATTGATATTGAGCAATGTTTTGAGTCATGCCATTAGGTCAAAATGATGCAATTGAACTCTTAATATCATGACTCAAACCAATTAACCAACTACTAGGCTAAAAATCATAAATTGCTCTTTCTCAGTCAAAACCCTAATTTTGACCATTTTGCCCCTTTTGATAATTTGATCAAATTTCTTGAGGAATTATGGTCCAAACTTGATAAAATGATACATATGAGTTTATAATATTGATATGGATAAAAAATTATAAAGTTTGACTGTAAATTGGCCACAGTTGACTTTTTCCCCAATACAATTGATTTTTAGGTCAACTGCCCAATTGAATGAGCAAAAATGTAATTCAAGGCTTGAAACTTGACATGAGTAATCTTGGGGGTCCATAATGATCCATGAAAGTCATATGAGGCATTGAAAGTTCAATTATCCTTGTGTAATCTCAAACCCTAATTTTAGTCATCAGTGCTTAAGGAGGTGTCTTGAGCTGATCAAACCTTGTGTAGTCTTGAACCAAAGGAGATCTTGTGGGAAAATACTTGATAAATGAGAGCGCAAATTTTGGGGTACAACATGATGCTTTTGACTCTTTGTTGCCTCTGAAGTTTAAATTCAGAACCTCGAACACCAGAACTTTCCCCTTCAGAAGCTCTAGCTTTAGAAATTGGATTTTCTCCAGAACCGTGACTGTCTTCAGAGTCTGGAAAATTCCCAGAGTCTGAATCACCATCGAAGTCAGAGTCAAAATCATCTTCACCTTCTGAATCTACTTCAGATTCGGAGTCACCATCATACTCGTCTTCAGAGTCAAAAACTTTACCAGCTTCAGAAACATGTGTTTTTGACTTTTCTTCAGAAGTTCTCTCGTCAGAGTCGGAACGAGACCTTTCCCAATTTTAAACTTCTAATTCTTTTATAATGACGTCTCTGTTGAACTCAACTTTGTCAGTTTCTTGACAATAAAGTTTGTATGAACCTGTATTATGGTACCCCACCAGTAACATTACTTTACTTCTATCATCCAGCTTCTGTCTTCTGGCTTTTGGGACATGTTTATAACATACAGAACCAAACACCTTCAGATGACTAAAACTTTTCTTTTCTCCAGTCCACTTATGAATATGAACTATTTCCTTCAGCTTCTTCGTTGGACATCTATTGAGCACATAACATGCAGTGGCAATAGCTTCTCCCCACAAAGTATGAGGAAGCTTCTTCTCTTTCAGCATGCTTCTCACCATATCAAGCAAAGTACGATTTCTTCTTTCACAAGACCATTATGTTGAGGAGTATAGGGAGCAGTAACCTCATGCTCAATTCCATTTTCCTCACAGAACCTTCTGAACTCTGTGGAGTTATACTCACCACCACCATTAGTTTTAAGAATCTTCAGAGTCTGGTCACTCTGGTTCTCAACCTTCAATTTGAACTTCTTGAATTCAACAAACACCCCATGTTTGAACTTTATGAGATATACCCATGTCATTATGGTGAACTCATCAACAAATGACACAAAATGTTTATTCCCTCCAATCGATGCTACTAGAAATGGACCACACACATCAGAATGCACTACTACCAAGGCATACTTTGCTCTTGGACCTACTTCTGAGGCAAATGGAAATCTTGGTTGCTTCCCTTCCATGAACACCTTGCATGACTTCATAGACTTCTTGATTGTAGGAATTCCATGTACAAACTTCTTTGATTTCAGATGCCCTAAGCTTCTGAAACTCAGATGACCAAATATTTTGTGCCATAACTCACTTTCCTTGACAACACTTGTTGCACTAAGACATCCAGAGCTCGCAGTTCTAACATTCGCCTTGAATGTTCTGTTCCTTCCCTGTTCTGACTCCATAATCAGCTTTTGATTATAGTCATACAGCTTCAGAAGATTGTCCTTCATGGTAACTGAAAAACCTTTCTCAATCAATTGTCCCACACTCATCAGATTACTTTTCATGTCAGGTACATACCACACATTTTGGATCACTGTTGCTTTCCCATTGTTTATAATGATTCTGACATTTCTCATACCTTCTGCATTGAGGTATTTATCATTAACATATCTGATCTTTGTACTCTTCCCAGAGTCAAAATAAACTAACCATTTCTTGTTTTCCAGTAAGATGGTTTGAACACCCTGTGTCCATATACCACCATTCTGATGAATTCATATCATCAAATTCAAAAGCCAACAATAGCACAAGTTCATCATCAGACTCTCCTCTGGCTATATTTGCTTTTTTTACTTCCTTTCTTTATTTGACCAGCAGTCTTTGGCATAGTGACCAAAGTTCTTGCAACAGTAACACTGAACATTCTTCTTGTCAAACTTCTCCTTTCCCTTATGGAAATTTTTCTTCCTATCAGAGGTTGAAGCTTATGACCTTTCACCACCATTAGTTTTCTTTCTGTCTTTTCACCAAGTATGCTTCTGATACTTCTTACTAGAAGTTGATTTTAGATCTTGCTGCTCTACTTCCCTCTCAGAAGTTCTCTCAGTCATATGCAACTCATGCGCCTCTAGACTACTTTATAGCTCTTCAACTCTCATGGTACTCAGATCTTTGAAATATTCAATTGCTACCACAATATAATCAAACTGAGAAGTTAAAGAGCTCAATACATTCTCTATGATTACTAGTTCATAAAGGGTTTCTCCACAAGCTTTTATCTCATTAGTGATTAGAATCAATCTAGATATGTACTCAGAAACCTTCTCATTGTCCTTCATGTTGAGATTCTTATATTTCTTTCTTAGGGACTGAAGTTTCACCTTCTTCACTGATGCGTCACCACCGTAACATCTGACAAGTGTGTCCCACGCAATCTTTGCTGTTTCGGAGTCAATATTTTTCTCAAATACATTCACATCCACACACTGATGGATGTAGAATAATTCTTTCTGATCTATTTTTCTTATCGCCTTCTGCGTTGTCTTCTGTGCCTCCCCCGCGTCTGCTGCTAATGAAGCATAACCATCGATGACAAGATCTAACACATCTTGAGAACCGAACAACACACGCATCCGGATCTTCTAATGATTCCTATTTTTGCCATCAAACACTGGAAGCTTGGAACTAATATCGTCATTTTCGTTCATCTTCAACCTTTTGCAGTTCACTCAAAACGCACCAACACAAAGTTTTCCCAAATCCCATAGAATCAGAAAAAATGTAACTCTTTATCACACAACACCTCATTGTTCGCTCGTGTTTCCCGTGTTTCTCCGTGGATTTCGAACCGGAGCTATATATATCAATTGTTGGTGCACAAGGAGATATGAAAGACAAAAGAAATATATTAATGACAGCTACAACATAAGGAATAATGGATTACATTGACCTACTTACTATTAGGCTATTTATACATAAATATCAGAGTATAATAAAATATTAGAATACCCTATAAAAGATTTAATGAACAACACATTTTTAAAATATAAATTATTTTCAATAGTCATTCATATGATTGGTATGTCTAGACAATACAAGTAGGGTGGGTCAGTGGGGGGAAGGAAAGACAAAAAAAGGAGTGGAATGCAATAAAGCGTTATTGAACAAAACGGTTGAATTTTCTTACAAAATCCTTGAAATTTCAACGCAGCAAGATTCCGAGAAATAATCAACACCACTTGTTCATTACTACCCACTCATTGTATGCTTGTTTCCGTTCCAGTAAGATTCACAATCTGTCCTCTAAAAACTTAGCTTATTCAGATGGCTAGCAGTAGCAGAAACTCCTCCATTTCAGCTCTCAAAAATTATAACTATGATGTGTTTGTGAGCTTCCGAGGTGAAGACACTCGCTACAATTTCACTGATTTTCTTTTCGACGCCTTTCAAACAAAAGCCATTTTTGCATTTAGAGATGACAATAATCTTCCAAAAGGTGAATCCATAGCACCCAAGCTCCTTCGTGCAATCCAACACTCTCAAATCTATGTTGTTGTCTTCTCAAAGAACTATGCTTCCTCACCTTGGTGCTTGCAAGAACTGGAAAAGATATGTGAATGCTATCAAGTGCCCGGAAAACATGTTCTTCCCGTTTTCTATGATGTTGATCCTTCTGACGTCAGACATCAAAAAGGAATTTATGCTGAAGCCTTTGCCAAATATGAAAACAGATTCCAGTATGACTCTCATATGGTGCTAAGATGGAGGAAAGCTCTAACAAAGGTTGCAAATCTCTCTGGATGGGATCTACGTGATAAGTAAGTAAAACAATGCTATTTTGCTTTTTGTTTTGCTTACTTCTGTGATGATTTGCTGTCACTGCTCTACTTCTGTGAACTTTCAGGCCACAATCTGCAGAGATTAAAAAGATGGTTCAAAAGATAATAAATATATTGGATTGCATATCTTCATCTTTTTCAAAAGATTTAGTTGGTATGGATTCTCCTATGCAAGAATTAGAAAAGCTTTTACTTTTGGACTCCGTTGATGATGTTCGTGTCGTAGAAATTTGCGGGACGGGAGGAATAGGGAAGACAACTCTTGCTACTGTTTTATATGATCGAATCTCTCAACAATTTGGAACATGTTGTTTTATTGATGATGTCAGTAAAATTTATAGACTACATGGTCCACTCGGTGTACAAAAGCAAATTCTAGATCAAACTGTCGGTCAAGAGCACCATCAGGTATGCAATCATTACAACGCAGCTAATCTGATACGACGTAGGCTCTGTCGTCAAAAGGCCCTTATGATTTTTGATAATGTTGATCACATTAAACAACTGGAAAAAAGTGTTGTGCATCGTGAATGGTTAAGTGCCGGTAGTAGAATCATTATCATTTCTAGAGATGAGCATATATTGAAACAGTATGGGGTGGATGCAGTTTACAAAGTTCCTCTCTTGGATTGGGCCAACTCTCTTCAATTATTGTGTCGAAAAGCTTTCAAACTCGATCACATTTTAAGTAGTAGTTATGGAGGGTTGGTTAATGGTATACTAAATCATGCCAATGGCCTGCCACTAGCAATTAAAGTATTGGGTTCATTTTTGTTTGGCCGAGATATATCCGAATGGAAAAGTGCATTGGCTAATTTGAGAGGAAATCCAGGCAAAGATGTCATGGATGTGCTCCGATTAAGTTTTGATGGGCTAAGGGAGACAGAAAAAGAAATATTTCTTCATATTTGTTTTTTCGACATGCATATGGAGAAATATGTTAAAAATGTGTTAAATTGTTGTGGATTTCATGTTGATATTGGATTAAGGGTTCTCATTGATAAGTCACTCGTAAGCATTGAAGGTGAAAAGATTGTAATGCACGGTTTGTTGGAAGAGCTAGGCAGCAAAATTGTTGCAGAAAACACAAGCAAAGAGCCCACAAAATGGTTCGACAAACAACGCTACGATGTTAGGTTGGAAAATATGGTAAAGTAGATGTTTGGATATGAAAAACTTATTTCAAATTTGAACTAGTAACTGTATTGAAAATTATTTAAGCTATTTTTTCTTCATTTTGTGCTATGCTTTAGGAAAAGAATGTTGAAGTAGTGCTGCAGCCTCAAATAATGACAGTGATTCTGAAAGTTTACATGCATTGTGAAGGTTGTTCACAAGATATCAAAAGACGCATTGAGAGAATCAAAGGTTTGTTACTGGATTCTGTTTTTCTTTTTTACAATTCAGATTATTCTCAGGTCCCATCTATTCATGAATTTGTCAGAATCCTCTTTACAGTTTGATTCTCTTATAAAAAAAGTTATTATAAATGACACTGCAATCTCATTTCATTATTATCATGCAGGAGTGGTATCAGCAGAACCGGATCAGAAGAACTCACTAGTGACAGTGAAAGGAGTATTTGAAAAGGAGAAATTAGTTAAATATGTTTACAAGAGAACCGGAAAACAAGCGGTGATAGTGAAACAAGAGCCGGAGAAGAAAGAAGAAGCAAAACAAGCGGTGATAGTGAAACAAGAGCCGGAGAAGAAAGAAGAAGCAAAACAAGCGGTGATAGTGAAACAAGAGCCGGAGAAGAAAGAAGAAGCAAAACAAGCGGTGATAGTGAAACAAGAGCCGGAGAAGAAAGAAGAAGCAAAACAAGCGGTGATAGTGAAACAAGAGCCGGAGAAGAAAGAAGAAGCAAAACAAGCGATGATAGTGAAACAAGAGCCGGAGAAGAAAGAAGAAGCAAAAGAAACTAAGGAAGAAGAGAAGAAAACTGAGGAGAAGGACGAGAATGAGAAAGGAAGTGGTGAAGGAGAGGAAAAGAAAGAAGCTGCACCGGGAGATGAAAAACTAGGTGGTGGCGGAGGCGGTGGTGATGGAGGTGGTGTTGGAGGTGGTGGTGATGGAGGTGGTGATGAAGGTGGTGGTGGTGCAGAAGAAACCACGGTTGTTGAAGTGAAGAAAAATGAATATAATAGTAATCCACATAGTATGGAGTTTAATGCTTTTCATGGACCAGCTTACCCTCTACAGATTTTCAGTGACGAGAACCCCAATGCTTGTTCTGTAATGTAAAAAATTATTCAAGAGTAAGGGTAAGGGTAATATTGGAATTATGAAAGATTCTAAACTCTATGACAGAAATCTGAGTCATAAGAGGATTTAGGCATGACAAAAAAACCCAGACCCGCTGGTATCACCTGGACCCGCCCCGAAATTAACGGGAAAATTCGGCTAAAACGGGTACGGGGGTGGGGGCGGGTAAAACCCGATTTCTAACTACGGGTGCGGGGGCGGGGGCGGTAAGACACTGAGACCCACCCGCACCCGCACCCGCCCCGCCCCGAATAATCCAATTACTATAATAAGCTTGTTTTAATTATTTTTATGTTACTTTTATTTTCTCATATGTTGTTGGAATGGTTCTTTTGTTGATTGTATTGTTTTAATTTTGTATTTGTACTTTGCAAAAAAATTGTTGGTTGTTGGGAGTGATTTATACTTTGATATATTGAAAGATTACACTCTTTTAATGAATCACAAGTTCACAACCAATTATAGTTGATTGAAGGGTTATGATAGAAAAATATTTGGAATGGTGTTTGAATATTAAATCCTACAATTATTTACTCAAATCAATGGCAAATTTTATATTTTTAATGTATTTGTTAATGCTGTCCAGGAAATTTGTGAAAAAAATAGATATTTTTTTATTTAAAAAAAACAGTTTTCGCGGGTGGGGGCGGGTGCGGGTGACCCGTTCTCCATTGGGGGCGGGTCTGGAGGTGAATTTCCATCCCCCGGCGGGTTTGGGGGCGGGGGCGGGTCTATTACTGGAGTTGCGGGTGCGGGGTTAGCTAAACCCGCCCCCGACCCGCCCAGTTGCCATCCCTAGGAGGATTTAAGTTATCACCCTTATTTATACTGATTTTACTGTTATACCCTTTAAGTAAATACTGGATTTTCTAAAAAATACTGTACTTTAAGGAAATTTTGAAACAGTGTTATAGTATTGAAAATTTACAAATATTTACAATTTATCGTAAGAGATGGGATAGCATTGAAAATTTCAAATTTTCGAAAGAGAACCATCTTATTGAAATTTTTGAAATTTTTTATATTTAACAAAAAATTTCACTAATTCATTACTTTTTCAAATAGCTGAATCGATAAAAAAAAAAAAAGTTATCCAACAAAATATATGACAATATATATATATATATATATATATATATATATATATATATATATATATATATATATATATATATATATATATATATATATATATATATATATATATATATATATATATATATATATATATATATATATATATATATATATATATATATATATATATATATATATATATATATATATATATATATATATATATATATATATATATATTAAAACTATGTTATATATAAGGATAACAAACAAATTATGATGACTTTCTAGTTTCGTCTTCTCAATGCCTAAAGTGACATATGAATATGAATGACAATTTGACTCATCTCCAATGAGTACTCCATAAAAAAACCTATATCAGATAGGGTAAAAATCCGCATAAATGGATACGGACACGAGTAAATATCCACTTAAATAAGAGGGTATGAGCACCTTAGTATCCATCCTGCTCCATACCCACACAATATATATTTTTATATACTTTAATTTATTTTATCATGTTAAAATAAATGTCTATCAATTTTCAAAAATACATTGATGTTAAACTATTACATATGTAATATAAGTCTTCTTTTATTTCATAATTCAACAATAAGTTTTTTTAAAACATTTAAATGTTCTTAAAAACTTAAGATGATATGATATTTTTTAGTTGTTATATTTATTTTTTATTAAAAATGTCAGTAGCGGAGACGGACACGAGTACTTATATATCCAGAGGGCACGTGTACGGGTGCTAAAGTTGTTACCCAAGAGGGTATGGGCTCGGGTATAGAGATTTTTTTCAACCGCTGGTATGGGGATTGGTACTAAAATACCCTACACATGCCCTGCCCATTACCATCCCTACATGTATATGCTGATTCTCATGCTTTTGTATCTTCAATACAATTTTGTTCCCAACGGTCGGTGATAGGAGACAATATGCAATCTTTCAATTAGGGATGCTCAAATTAATCGGTTTGGTGGTATATCCATAACCATATCCATACCCGGTTATCAAAAACCGCTTTATTTTATTTTAGTTTTTCAACCAATCCATTTTAAAATATATTTGGATACCCATAACCAATTTATTGGATAACCACAACCAAATAAAACACCCACCTAGCCCAAAACCCTAAACATATTCACAATTCACTATTCATGATTCTCACTTCTCCACTCTCTCAATCTCGATCGATAGATCTCTGTTCTTCACTCTCTCAATCTCAACCGACCGATCTCTGTTCTCCACTCTCTCAACATCAATTAGTGAATTCCTTTTTGTGTTCTTCCATTTTTGAATTTGTGGAAGGAATGAAGAAACCAAGCCAGATAAATTCATTTATTTTTGAATTTCGATTCGATTTGCTTGATCTCTGATGTTGTAGTTGTTGTTTTCCTAATTATATTGGAATATTTTATTGTGTGCTTTCTCTAGATGTTGTATTCTATCCATTTGTGTGTGTTCATGTTGTTGCTCTGAAGTGTATGCATTTACAGTTCAGTTTGTTTATCAATTTATATGCATTGTGTATATTATATCGGAGCAATGTCTTTCTGTAAGGATTAATGCTTGTTATGTGTGACACTAGTTTTAGTTTGTCAACATTGCTTTATGACACTCTTTAGGATAAAGTAAAATTACCTTGAAATATAGCATAAACAGATTCAAGGTCAGCATTTTCAGAATCAAATCTTAAAACTATGACATAATTTCCTTTATGAGTATCATGTTCTTCTTTTTCTAATAACTGGCAGTAGTTAAAATCACAAGCATTTTTGTAATTACATAATAAAATCATGATAATATTTCTTTGAATTAATTTGACATTTTTCTGGTCTTTTCAAAGCATGAAATGTCTTAATAGAATCTTACAACGGATGAGACAACGCAAAGCTTGTGAACTACTTTTACTCGAGCACCACCCTATCAAAGAAACAAATCTTCTATTTGGACTCACTTCACTCCTGATTTAGAATTGAGTATAGCTCAATGCAACTATTGTGGCTCCAAGCTAAAGTCCAATAATGGAACATCTTCCATGACTGCTCATTCAAAGATTTGCAAGAGTAACCCAAATAGTGAAGTGAATAAGAGATTGAAAACAACTTCTTCACCAACAAAAAATGTGGCTTCCCCTTCAACAATGATGTTAGTCAAATTTGACCAAGAGAAATGTCAGAAGGCAGTGGTTGACATGATTGTGGAAATGGAGCTTCCATATATGCATGTGGATCATAAAGCTTTTCGTCGTTGTTTGAATGTATTTCTGCCAAGACATATTCCAATCTCCAGAAGCATTGTAGCACGTGATGTGTTGTATTTATGGGATGTTGAAAGAGAAAAATTGAAGAGCTTTCTTTCTCAACATTGTCTAAGTGTGTGCCTAACCATATATGGTTGGACTTCATGTCAAAACATGAGCTACATGTGCATAACAACACATTTTGTAGACAACAATTGGACATTGCACAAGAAGATTTTGAATTTGTTTTCAAGTCTTAAGCCATTCAGGAGAGGTATGGCAAATACGATTGCACAATTCTTGGACAATTGGGGGTTGGACAATGTTTTAACAATGTTTTGAGTGTGACAGTTAACAATGCGTTATCAAATGATTGCGGGATTGAAAATCTCAAAAACAGGCTAAGTTTGAGGAAGAATTTAATTTTTAATGGAGATCACTTTCATACAAGATATTATGCACACATCATGAATTTAGTGGTTAAAGAATGTCTAAAAGAAATTCATATTTCAGTTTCTAGAATTAGGGGTGCTGTTAGTATGTTAAGTCTTCCCCGAGTCGAGAACATAAGTTTTTGGCATGTGTTAGAAGTAGACAAATTGAATACAAGGGTAGTGTTAAATTTAATTGCGATACTCGATGGAATTCAACATATGACATGTTAAAGGCTGCTCTACAACTTGAAGTAGCATTTGTTGAGTTTGAGATTATTGATGCTAAGTATTGTGAAGAACTTGAGAAAGGGAGTGGCATTCCAACCAATTTAGATTTGGAGAAAACACGTGAGGTCGCTCAATTTTTGGAAGTTTTTAAGGCTTCCACTTTACGCATATCAGGTTCAATATATGTGACAAGTAATATGTAATTGGCAGAAGTATTTTCAATTGGTTTGGCTATCAAAGACATGTGCACGTCTAAATAGTCATCTTTAGCTCATACAAGGAATATAGCTTTAAAGATGAAGGAGAAATATGATAAGTATTGGGGGAAGTCCTAAGAAATTGAACATGTTGCTGTTAATTTCTTTTGTGTTAGATCCTAGGAAGAAATTGGTGTATGTTCGTTGGTTTATCGAAAAAAATTGATAAACAAAATGCTGAAATCTTGAAGGATAAATTAGAATTGGATTTGAAAACCATATTTGAGGAGTATAATGGTGGTTGGACAAGTAGGTCTCAAAGTGACTTTATTGAACCACTTGTATTAGTTGGACAAATTGAAAATCCTAATTGTTATTATGGGGTATTTTGGCAATCAAGCAGTCTCAATTCAAGTGGAGTGAAATCTGAATTAACAAAGTACTTTGAAGATGGTTTAGAAGGTGATATTCCTAACTTCGATATCTTGACTTGATGGAAGGTGCATTTAAGTCAACTTCCAATCCTAGCTAACATTGCAAGGGAGTTATTAGCTATGCTCGTCTCAACAGTGGCTTCTTAGTCTGCCTTCAGTACTGAAGGAAGGGTGCTTGATGACTATCGTAGTCACATTATTGCTAGATCTGTGGAAGCACTTATTTGTGCTGGAGATTGGCTTGGTGGATCACCTGTACCATTGCCCACTCAAGATGATATCGAAGAGCTTGAGAAAATTGAGCGAGATGCAGTTTAATTTAATAATAAATTGAAAAAGTTTGATTAAATAGATGGT